ATTCCATTAATCTTATACCACTGACTTAAAATATGGGGTTCCACAGGGATCCATTCTGGGGCCTCTTTTATTCATTATTTATTTAAGAGATTTTCCGCAACTTAGCAATTTAAGTAAACTCTGCTTGTATGCTGATGATACCAATTTGAAAATCATAGCCTCAACAAATGAAGAATTAGAAAGCAAGGCAAAATAAGACATATGCGTTTTAAATGATTTTTTTAACTCCCAAAATCTAAATCTCAATGTGGATAAAACAAGTATCATAAATTTTCAAACTCGAACTACCAGAAATCAACGTCGACCGATTATTAAATTTAATAATAAAACCATTGAAGTTAAGGATAGTACTAAATTTTTAGGATTAGTAATAGATAAAAGACTCAATTGGAACTGTCATGTTGAAAAAGTACTTTCAAAAGTTTCTTCTGGATTATATGCCTTAACTAGATTAAAAAACTATTGCGAAATAGAAACTTTGAAGTTGGTTTACTTTTCATACATACATTCAGTGATTTCATTTGGGATTTCCCTTTATGGCTCAACCAATAAGAGAAACTTAAAATATATATTAAGAATGCAAAAAAAAAAGCTATAAGAATAATTTACAACCTTCCACCTAGAACTTCTGTTAAGAGAATGTTTAAAACAGAAAATATAATGACAGTTTTCGGTATGTATGTTTTTGGAACAGTGGTATCTGTTAAAAACAGATTTCATGAAATAGAGCTGGTTGGAAGGAAACATGATTATCTTACAAGAAATCGAGGCAAGTTAGCATTAAGTCCTCATAAATTGCGCCTTTTCGAAAAAAAACCCAAATACGCCGGAACAAAATTCTATAATTAACTTCCAAAGGACATACAAGCAGAAGTAAATATAAAAAAATGTAAAAATAAACTTAAGAAATTTCTCATTAGCAGGGCTATTTATTCATTTGATGAACTGTAATTGACTTTTCTTTCCCTACTAATCAAAGTATGTTTTAACTGTTAGTTTTATGTTCTTTTACAATTTTTCCCATTTACTATAAGCATGTATGTTTTATTATAACTTATAAGAAATGTGACACTATTCATGTATATATTTCTAATGTACTTGATGAATAAAGATAATTTGAATTGAATTGAATTGAATTGAATCTATACTCCGCGCCAAAGCTGGTGGCGGCTGAGGGATTAGGACGGCCAGGTCGGTGAGCAGGTCCGACCTATGTAGTTCTACCTGGCGGTCCTAATCCCTCAGCCGCCACCAGCTTTGGCGCGGAGTATAAAAGTGGTAAGAGTTAGCAAAGATTTTAGGGAATTTTCACAGTCATAAAATAGTTATACAAAACCCTCTTAGGCGTCTCCAAAAATTGCCCCTTCACCCCCCAAAACACCACATAGTACAAACTTTTTTCAAATTGCTTTTATTTGGGACATGTTATAAATTATTTTTATTTTTTTGTACACATAAGTTATACCGTATGGTATTTTTAATGCTCTAACTCTGAAGGAATACTCACAAAAGCGATATTTTAAAATTTTCACCCCTCAAAATATTTGAAATGGTGGATTTACAAAATATTTTTAATGGGCACTACTTGTGCAATGGTCTACGTCAATAATTCACAAACTTGCTAGGTACTTGACATCTTATACTAATACTCAAAATATTTAAGAAATTTGCATTATCAAATATTGACCCCTCCTCAACAAATAATTAATTGATCCCCCCTCACAAAAAATTCTTAAATCACTTTCCTTGTGCTAAGGACTAGAACTATCTTCCACAGTTATTAGCCTTCGGTTATAAACAAGGGATACTTACGATTCTTTATTGACTAACAGCTAGGGGGCCTGGAAGTGGAGCCCCCAGCGAGCCAAAGGTGAGTAATTAATATTAACTGGATTGTTTTATCCTAATAATATTTAGTTTTTCATGAATAAATTTGCCTTTTTCTCATTACCTGTCATTGTATTGATTTTATTATGCCTTTTTTTCGATTTTGCATCCTAAGAAACATAGATAAATAATTGAACCCCCCTCCTCACAAAAAATTCTTAAATCACTTTCCTTGTGCTAAGGACTTGAACAATCTTTCCCAGTTATTAGCCTTTGGTTAAGGGATACTTACGATTCAATCCCACCCCCCAATATTTAATTAAAATATCCTTAAATGTCAACTCCCCCCACAGATATATAGAAACCCACCATTATTGCTTGTGTTAACTGCTTCAAATCCGACAGAAACTTGAGAAATGCTGTGAATGCTATCTAGACCACTTCTAGGTGTGCTACGGACACAAGAAATTTTTGCTGACTTACAGCCAGGGGGCCTGGAGGTGGAGCCCCCAGCGAGCCAAAGGCGATTAATATTAACTGGATTGTTTTACCTTAATTGATTTGTAATATTTAGTTTTTTATGAATAAATTTGTCTTTATCCCATAAACTGTCTTATTAAGTTGTAATGATGTTATTAGGTCTTTTTTCAATTCTGCATCCTAAGAAACAGGGTTATCCTGCATTCTGTTTTTGTAGAGTTATTGGTAACGGAGAAGATTAAAAAAACTGTAGGTAGATTTAAAATTCCCACGTTATTCTTATGGAGTATAATGTTAAATTGTTGTAGTTTATTTGTTTATGGATATATTTTGATCAAACTTGGCAAATTTATAATATACTAAGGTATAATATAAAACAAAAAAAAAAACACTTTATTAGTTGTAGCAGCAAACCTAGGTACTCATTAAACCTAAGATTTAATAACAAATCAATTCAGATACTGCTTAGTCGGCAGGTTTGCTGCGGCGGGGGTATTTCTCATAAAATGTCGGTTGTATTGACTTTATTATGCTTTTTTCAATTCTACATCCTAAGAAGCATAGATAATGACACCCTACTTGTTTGGATCCCATAAATAAAAATGTTCCCAAAAATCACTACCCCCAATTTTTAACCCCCCTAAAATGGTATTCCACCCCCCTTATCACTAGGGACTCATCAGATTTCAAAAACATGGTAAGTACGGTACTATGTTTCCTGCAAGTTTCATGAACGGACTATTTTTTATGTTTTCTACTAGTCTTTTGGTGGAAATTTACCTGTACTATGGGTCGGGGTGCTAATTTAGCGGATTTGGCCAAGAACCAAGGTTATCTCAACACACCTTTATTTGCCTTTTCATATTTGACAAAGACAATTTCCAATATTTTAATATGATCATTAACTATGTGAAGTGATTAATTCAGGAAGGGTCACCTAGCCTAAACTTACCTCCGTTCGCTTGAGTAGTCCAGGGTTCTCACGCTAACAGTCTCCGTTGCTCGCTTCTGCTTTTCGGCCTTCGTAGATAGTACCTTTGTCGTCATACACGCAAGAGTAAACTATGGTTGTATGTCAGCACGACGACACACTGACTAGGAATAAATCGGCACTAAATACGATGCTTACTATGTGAATTAAAATACATGACCAGCTTCTAGGCCTAACAAAAGGAATCGCTTCTCAAATAAAAACTAAAAATAATACTCTCCTAGTGAACAAAAATGTCGTAACACGCAATAATAAAATAACGAAATAAAATTAATCAGCTCATATGCCAATGCACTTCTTGGCTTCGAAATAACTAAATATAATACTTAATATTAAATAAAATAAAATCGCTTTAGATAAATAAACTAAAAGGTGTAGGCTACTGCGGCACTGCACTCGCAGTGCCGGCCGGAGAAATAGAATACACAAATCTCTTACAACTAAGATGACTTGTCTAATAAATAACTTTTATTCGCCAAAGTAAAACGGGAAAATAAGACTAATAATGTAAGGGTATACTGCAGTACTTACGCCTGTCGATACTTATTTCGATTTATATTATTGTTTTTATATCTCGCTCGTTGCGAGTCGCATCCACAACTTATGCTTGCTGCAGGTCCGCTGTATGGTCTCATGAGAGGGTGTTTAGCGAACGTACGCTCGCCGTCAACTCTCTCAAGAATTGTCCACTGTCCGGCGGTATCGGCTTCTCCCCACCACCGCTACGTCAGCGCTCCGGGGTGGTGACGGCCAAGTCACGAACTAGGACACTTGACATGCCTAGTGTTATGTCGGTCATTGTTGTGCTCGAGCAATTCATGGCCTTAAAATAATTAAAACGTACCCCTAACAAAATTGGTCCGTTACAACCATAAGACCAAATCTACCTTAGTAAACCAATATTTATTCACAAAAATGTTTGCTGTCTTTAGCAGGGTTTTTTATTTTTTTCCCTAGGACGCTAGGCACGAACCCGGAATTGTTTTCCCCATTACTTCAGGCTAGACCTAGGGGTTACGGTAATATCACTTAGATAAAATCTTTTGGTGATTGGGCGGGGTTTGAACCCGGGACCCCAGGAACCGGAGTCCCGCTCTCTAACCACTAGACCAGCTCGCTCCCCCGCCTTTAGCAGGGTTAAACCTCTGGAGTCATTCAAATTATTTATTGAAAACAACATCAACAAAAGCAAACAAAGACAAACAACAAACTGTTTTTCACACAAAAGATATGTTGTACTGGGATATCTATCCTGACACATAGTTATTTGATTCAGAGTTTATATATTACAATAATTTGTTTTACATTTGAGCTTTTTAGGGACCTATGTCCCTACAAGCCACTAGTGTCTATATAATTCAGTGTTTTATTTCAGCTACAAAAATGTAACAATGGGATAGTAAATACTTTAAACCAGACAAATGAAGTTATTACAGCATTCTACAGCCCTATATTATTTTATAGAACCGTTTTGGTTAACCGGGTTTTTGTTAACCCAAATTCGGTTAACAGGGGTTCTACTGTATAATAAGGAAATCACTTGTTCTATCCTTCAAGTAAAGCTCACTTTACTGAGGATGGGTCAATGCTTCTGAATCCCAAATTATGGTTTCTAAATTTGACATACAATTGATTACTTTATGACCTTATTATGATAGAAAAACTGTTATTTACTTGCTACAGTGATTTATTTTCACAACAGTTGATCAAAAACAACCCAATGAGGGTGCTCAACAGCCCGTATATACACCGGGTGTGTCCAGCGGGTATGAGGTATATTGTTCTACTCAAGTCTCTGAAGGCCTCGGACATAGATGTGTGGCGAACTGTCATGACATGGGCACGGAGCAAAGGTTAGTATACCTACAATAGCTTGTCATTTTATTGTCTTTTAATTTCTGTTGCAACTTCCTTATAGCAAGGGATAAAACTTAAGTCTGTTACTATCTAATGTTGACCAGGCCAGTTAGCTCGCTTACAGATTATCCGTGTTTCCCATTCATTAACAGATTTCGTTAACAATTTCTTCAGTTCAATTCCAAGTGCTCTTATCCATTGACGTCCCCAGAGTGCTTCATGTCCGGTTGGAACAATGTGGAGTTCCTCTTTGACAAATCTTCTGCAGTGAGAAACTATTATTTTCACTTTTCCTTCAGGTTTGATAATATGACCTGAGCAAACTCTGAAAGCAATGTAAGGCCTTGTCGATTCCATTGAAATGTCTAATTTGAGTTTGCCAAAATCATTTTTGGATAGAGAGGTGATAATTTTGCTCCTGTGTCTTTGAAATGTTGTGGTTTACCATTTTAATCAGTTTACTGTAATCATGTATTTGTCTGAGTTGTTCTTTACTTCAAACAATTCGGGCTTGGGTTAATATGCATTTTAGGGTATTTACCAGATTTTTTACATTTGTTTTTTTTTATTCAAAATTACTCAAAATTCAACACTGATTCGGAAAATTACATTCTTTTTCTGCGAAAAACCCCGAAAAACAAAGAAAACGATTAAAATGTTTTGATAAAAATACGTCATGTGGTCTCTAATTATCCGGAATAATGAGCAGATCACAAATATTCAATATCAAGCGAAATATTTACAAAAATGTGCGGTGAGATTAGGTTATGGGTACCACTTCACCTAAAATGTTCTTATAACGCTTTTATTTTGTTTGATATAAAAGCTAAAACTTTCTGTTATAAAGTAAAGTTTATTTATTAAATCAATATTAATATTTTTAAAAAGGTAGAAGAGCCTTAGTTTAGATTCATACAATCAATCAGGAAAAGGGACATTTTAAGAACGATAGTATAGTGGGCTACAGGGCCTAAAATGAACTTTGTACCTGTCCGCCCTATAACCCATCAGAGGATGAAGCCGAGCAATAAGGGGCAGTCTCAGTCATGATAAAGGCTCGTGAAGACCTATGCTAGTACTCCTCAGTATATTTAATATTGTGCGTTTGCCATAAGCAGAGTTTTACCTTAAACATAAGTTTATTCCGGGTATAATACTTTCTAAATGACTTTTGGCACTGTGACCTTTTTCTATCACAGTTGAACCTTGATAACAAGACCCTCGATAACAAGTAATTTTTGATAGTCCGGTTGCCAAACCCTATATTTTTGGTCGACCCAAAATTTTTGGATTTTTTTATTTATAGATAGTTACTAGGACATTAAAACTTCAAGAAAATGCATGATGACATTCTGTCACCTTTGGGCAATTTGAGATTTGGGCGCCATCTTGAATTTTTCCAAATATTTTTGGATTATTTTTATATTTGGTCTATAGGGTTGTTGTATATCATTTTATATGTTTTTAAGTACGATGAGATCAATGGGAGGACTTCAAAGTATCTAAAAAATAGTTGTGTCTCAGAAACCGCCGCCATCTTGAATTTTGCCTTTTTTTAAATTAATTTTATATTTGTTATATAGGGTTGTTTTATATCATTTTACTTTTGAGTACACCGAGATTAATAAACACACTCAAAAGTTTGTAGAAATGAATAGTCTTTTGTTAGCAATCGCCGCCATCTTGAATTTTGCCAATTTTTAAAATTAATATTATATTTGTTATATAGGGTTGCTGTATATCATTTTATATGTTTTTGAGTATGCTGAGATCATTTAAAGCACTCAAAAGTATGTAGAAATAGTAGTTTCTTTAAAATTGCTGCCATCTTGAATTTTGCCAAATATTTTTATTCATTTTACCTACTTGGAGTGTTTTATTTGATCCCACAAGAAGCAAGCTTTTATCAGTAGTGTTCCTTACCAGCTGATTAAGGAAGTTAGTATACAATGTACAGTGTACAAGACACGCACAAAGAAGAAATGCAGTCTCAAATCATTTCTGATTGAAAAGACAGAGAAGGAATAAGAAATAAACTGAAGCTCTTCATTGACCCTTTGGCACCTACTATAGAACTCACCCACAAAATATAGTAAACGTAGCGTCTGGCTTGGTTCTATCGGATACTGACACAGTGAACATTGGTGATCAGCAATTAAAAATATTTCAAGGGGGTTGGCCAGCAAGTTTCCATTTGCCAGTGAAATAAATAGTTGTAACTAGCTTTTGTACCCGTGCTTTGCAACGGGAAGAGGACCTGAAATAGAAACATTTTGATCTTAAAATCTGTTGTATAAAATATACACATCCGCCAACGCTTTTACAAACAAAATTCAACCCTAATGGCCTTTGTGCTCAATGTGGAAAGGGACCAGGTTTCTGCACTGTACGTAACAACAGACCTAATTAGAGTTTTGAATACCTTCATCTTTGTCTTGGGGGTCATCAGATTGGATTTGAGGTTAGCGTAATATGCTCTGTTACCAGCCATGATTCAGTTTGTGATTTTTTGTGCAACAGTGTTTTTGCTATTCAGCTCTGCCCCAAAGTAAACAAACCCATCCACATTCTTAACACATTTGTTTTATATCTTTAGTACATATTATTTAATTAACAAATGAAATTGAGCGTTTAAGATGGCAGACAAAACTAATTATTATCAAAACATCAGAGGACAAAAACATTAATAGTAATAGGCATTAGGTATATGTTTCATTGCATCTATTATTTTTCTCTAAAAAAAAATTCAACGAACAACATAATATAGAATCCAGTTCTTTTATTTAGTTCCATAGTCTACTGCCTTTACATTTTCACACTTACCATTAAGTAAACATAATAACAAATATTTTATTGATTTTAGAAACAAAAGAACACTGTGTACAGCTAAGTTTTATGATATTTTCCTTAGTTTGATTTAATCAGTGGTGTAGTGAAACACAACTACTAAATTTACCTAAATATAAAAAAATCTATGTGAAGTTCAAGTTGTTTATCCAACACATTTTAAGCAGTTGGAATTCATAAAAAAATCCTCCAAATTTATACAAACCATCTATACACTGTAATTTTCATACTGTTTCCATGAAATAACCAATAACATTATTTTCATAACTTAAGACGCTTTAAAAAATCCAAAGCAGAGCCGGAGTTGATACAGCAACGGTTATAGAATCTTTTTTTATAATCATTGACATAGTTTTTGAATAAATAATCCATGATAAAACTTAAGATTAAAATATACATCATATATAGTTATGGAAAATATTATAATCAATTTCTTTGTATCAGCTGTCTGAAATTGTGAAATATGCAATTTACCAGTTCTTCTTGTTTAAATTGAAATGTCAAAGCAAATGTAAACAAACATTATTAGTGTTCTCATCGCAGCCATGGAGACAAATCAATATTTACTTTTAAAATCCTCACCTCAGAAGTTTTAAAGCCAAAGGGGCAAAGCCCATGGTCAGTATCAAAGTGTGAATAGTCCTATAATGGTCCTTGGTATGGTAGCTATATTATTGTAAAATTTAAGCCCAGTCGGTTCAGTAGTTTTTGAGCCTATTAGTAATACACATACAGACAGACACCATTAGGTTTTTATATAATAGTATAGATTGGGTCTACATCAAAGAAACACGTAAACATTGGCAGTGTTAAGGTTTTCAATACAGCTGGTATTACTTACTCCTCAGTTATAGGACATCAAGCAAGCTCAAACCAAGTAGATGTAAGTCATCTTCCGTCTCAGGAACTGTCACCTGTACAACGTCAATGTTAACAGATTCTGGAGAAATTAGGAATTAGGATCTGCAAAGCTAAATCTACTGTAAAGAAACTTCTCCAGGTTTCGTCCTCAACAAGAAAGACGTGCATTGGAAACACACTTATTGTGATTGATGGATCTGCACTTTTATGGTGTGTGCAGTGACCAGAAAAGGGTAGTGTTCAGGACTTCATAAATTCACTTAAATCATATATAAGCAAACCTTTGCAATACGGAAATGTGAACCTGCTTTTGATCGGTGACAAGCAGTATAGTACTAAGGATCACACAAGATTGTGTAGATCTCAGGAGTGACATGAGTTCACACACTCACATATACAACACCTCTGCCTCTATGTAGGGACATTTTGGGCTCAAATGAAAACAAAACAAGATTAATTTAACTGGTTTGCAGAAGCATTATTAGAGACGAATCTTTTAACAAAGGCTATATTACCAAACTCAGACTTATTGTAAAAGGTCCACAAGAAGAACCCTACGAGATTTATCGAGGAGAAGTAAAAAAAATGCATGATCTAAGAAATACTTAAGAAGAAGCAGATACGATTATTGTACATCAAGTTATATTAGCTGCTGATGATGAAGACAAGCAGATCGTTGTTTTATCAGATAACACAGATGTTTTTCCTTCTTTACTTCTGCAAACTTGAAAACGTTTTTGTAACTATTCTGATGGAATCACCTGTTCAGGGTTGCTCAAGAATTGACATTAGTGCATCTGTCGTCAAACGTCAAACAAAATAAAATAATACCTGATGTGCTTGCAGCTCATGCTATCACTGGATGTGATACCACTGCAATGTGTTATGGATTACGGAAGATTAAAGTAATTAAGGTTTTGAAAAATGGACACTCCTTATCATCGGTTGAAGAAATACATTTATTTCATCAAAGTTTATGTCTGCATGTTATGGTGTATCTATTTGTAACACAACTTCTGAAGCTCGTGTCAAAATGGGGGCTGACAAGTTCGAAGTGCAACAACTCAATTGCCGAATCTGTGCACACTACCACCAACAAATTCAGCAAAGAAAACCTTAAGCGAGCTCACCTTCAAACCTGTATTTGGAAGCATTCAATGAACTCTGACCCACCAGATTAAGATCCACTGCTTCACAGTTTCTACAAGGATGAGTACTGAAGGGAATTTTGAAGTTGGTTAAGTGCTCTTGTAGAAATGTATTGCCATGCAACAGCGATCGGTGTAGT